CCCGCCCAGCTCCTGGGGCTGCCAACGGCGCCTTCGCTTTCGGCGCCTTCTGTCGCAGTGATTCTGCACAGCGAACGGCCAGAGCTCGCTAAGGCCACATGCATCTACGCTACAATACTTCGGATTATTCCATGCCCCCATGATCTGGAGGTGGCTGCACCCATTACTTTGGGTTTGGTATGGCAACGCTGCTTTTCACGAGCGCCGCGCCCCCGGCACCCAGGAATCACGGTCTCGCCATGGGCTTCCTCTCACGATCTACTTGGAGATCGTGCTATCGCTCAAGACTTCCAGAAGTTCACGCGGGACTGACGCTTCAACGACCCGCCCGCCGACCTGGCCGTCCGGGCCCACCCGCCGGACCCGCCCGTGAATGTCCGCCCGCCCGACTCGCCCGTCTGGCGTTCTTGCTCGCTTCCATGCCCGTTTCCCCTCTTGTTAAGGGATGCGCCAGCTTCGCGTGGCAGGCAAGGGAAATATAGATACGATCGGACACGAAAAGGGCGGACATCGAAGAGTTGGTATACACAGGTTGAATGGCACGCGAACAGGTCAGATCGAACAGTCGTAGCCTGTTTTAGTTGTGTGCACGACAAACACAACCAAACACACATTGCTTTGCAAACAAGGCGCGGGCGCGCATTTGGGGAACGATCACGAGAGAGAGGGGAAGGGGGGGGCGAGGAGTGGGCGGCGTGTGGGGAAGGAGGCGCCGAGTATTTCTAGCATTGTATCACAAGGCGTTGCCCCAGACGGGGCTGCGCCGCCAATCGCGGGGGAGGGCTTTGGTGCGTGGGCAGCGCCGGGGACAGGGAAACGCCGCGCGGGTTGTTCATGGGGGGTGACCGCGCCCCCCCATCGCCCCGCTGAGATGGTTTGGCCCTTTTTGGTACATGTTGGTGCCGAAATGCGATGGGATCTAACGATCAGGGACATAACCAATCGTGTGCAGCACAGCAGGTGCAAACGTGTGGCGTGCGTTAATGTACACGCTGTACTCACCTGTTAATGCAAGGTGGCAGCGCGTGTATATATATATATATACATACATACACACATACATTTGCATATATATATATATATATATATATATATATATATGTAGACATACAAACATACATACATACATATATATATATATGCGAATCTAGCACGCGAGAAATCATGCTATGAATGCACTTATTTCCGTTACCCGCATTCTGGTATCATGTGTACGTGCATCATGTGGTTGTACGTCATGATATACACGACAGGTAACCGAATGCACGTTCATTCAACGTACCCACATACATCATATTCCGATACGAACTCACAAGTACAACTGGAAACGCCTATGTTTGACCTCCGCGGCTTCACCACATCAACCAAACAAGTGTTTCCTTACAACATCCGTGGGAGCAGGAGGTGCAAAACATTGGGCGACCTCGCCTCGACGAGCGCCGCTTCGGAGAAGGGGCTTCGCGAGTTCCTTTTCGGAACGCCCACTATGGCCCCCTCCCCTTACGGTTCGATCCTCGGCTCGGCCGCCAACAACAGGGCATCCGTCGGCTGCACAAGGCATAAACCATTGTTGCATGCCTTGAACGCCCTTCTCTGGCCTGCATAGACCAAGAGACTGTGACCTATACAATCGACTGTGCTGGGTCCGCGCTGGTGCGCGACGCGGCGCGACAGACTTGACGGCGTGATCCCATGCGAGCTCCCACACATTGACGGCGCAGGACCCCACTGGGTCCGCACTGCGACGTGGCGCATGCGAGCTCTTTCAACTGGGGAACCAAAAGCACACGAATGGGTTAAGGACCGAGCACATCTATGGTACAGCGCCCTCGCAGGCGGCATTTTCTTCTCTCATCTCAAGGTCAACCAGGACTCCAGGCCGTTCCTCATCTTCGGCAACAACATGCTCGTGGTCGCACCCATACGAGAGGGGGGGCCCACACCCTCCACGCGCAAGCCACATCATCCATCGTATCGGGTGTGCCGAATCGGGGAGAAGGCTTTCTCAGACGGCTCGGGAGTCCCACCGCCTTCTGAGCAGTTTTCTGAGCCTTCCCTGGAGACACAAGCGCCTTCTCAGAAGGCGCGAGGGCTTCTGAGAAGTCTGGCCGCCTTCTGAGAGGGCCTTCTCCTTGCTCGCCGCCGAGAGATGAATGCGATGACTTGCATCATGGCCGCAGTATTTTTGCGCGACTCCGCGCTGGTACGCGACGCGCACGACAAGCTCGACGGCGCGACCCTGTGCGAATCCCCCCAGCTGACAAGCGCCGGCCTGCACCAAGTCCGCAAAGCGACGCGGCCCAACGCCATCAGACGCGGCCCGAACGCGTACCGTCATTCGGCGGCGAGCCCCGGGGGGAAGTGAGAAGAGGCGGGCCTTCTTAGAAGGCTCGGTAGTCCCTTCTGAAAGAAATCATAACCCTTCCCCGAAAACGCAACAACACTTCTCAGAAGGCG